CACACACACTCTCTCTCTCTCTCTCACACACACACTCTCTCTCTCTCTCTCACACACACACACACACAGTAAATACACACACACACCGGTTCTGGGTCTCGAGTGTGTTCTGGCAGTGCTGTGACTCCTCCAGCAGCGTCTGGAGCTCCTCCAGTCTGTGTCTGTCTGACTCCTCCTGAACACACAGCATCTTATTCTCCTGCTGCAGACGCACAACCGTATCCCTGACACACAGAAAACACATTCATATGCACTTATCTTACATATACAAACAAGCACCAAATTAATGACTTCTGAAGGATCATGTGACACTGAAGACTGGAGTAATGATGCTGCAAATACAGCTTTGATCACAGCAATAAATTACATTTTACAATATATTCAAATAGAAAACAGATATTTTAAATTGTAATATTTCATAATATTAGTGTTTTTACTGATCAGATAAATGCAGTCTTGGTGAGCAGAACAGACTTCTTTCAAAAGCATTAAAAATCTTTTTTATTCCAGACTTTAGACCACTAGTGTGTGTGATTAGTATTAAGTTTAAACTGCTCAAATGTTTAACTAGTAAAGTCCAGCCCACTACAAGCTACTACTAAAAATAATTACTACCCATATTCATGTAAGGGTCAGTCCTTTCAATTTTGTGATTATCAGATTGGCTAATTTATAAACTTTACATTAACATTTACATTTACATTACATAATTCATAAATCAGAGCAGTATTTACCTGACACAAGATCTGGATCATATATAAAATAAAATTTTACATTAAATATTAGTGATGCACTGAAATTATTATTTTATTTTTTTTCCAAAACGTAAGTTTTCATTTAACCAAAAATCCAAAACCGAAAATAAATTTGATAACGGATTTTTTTATTTTTTATAAATTCAATAATCAATTTATCACATGTATTTATCGACTCTCATATAAAAACAGAGTTGCACATAAACATTTAAATTGCAGTTTTTCTATCAACTATTTAATGATATAAACCCAAAATATGTTTTCTTCCAAATATTTATGGATATTTCAGTGCATCACTACTAAATATTAATAATAATAATAAAAACTAATTTATATAATGGAAGTAAAACTGTAGCATTTAAACGATAACAAAAAAGAGTATTAAATATAAAACACAGGCAAAGTTATTACAGTAACTAACAGATGAAAAAATCCTTTTTGTAACCTTAAATAAAATAATCTTGAACTGAAATAATAATTTCAGCTAGTTGCCAAAGCAACATTTCTCATTTAATTTAGTTTAACTTGATGTTAAATAAAAAAAAATGAATAAAAACTGTATTGGCATATTTAAAATCAATCAATCAATCTTAAAAATTAACAATAATAAAAAAATAATAACTAAATAAAAAAAACTACTAAAGATTTAAAATTAAAAAGACAGAAATGATCAAAACAAATTAATTCAAAATATTAATAATCACTAAAATAATATCTCAATATGAAAAAAAAATAACAACAGGGACTTCTGGGAACTCTAAGTCTAACAAATTAGTAAATTTTTAAAACACGTGAAAAAAACAATTGTTGCAAAAATAATTAGTAAATCGTGTAAATTAGCGAACAATCAAACAAACAGTGCTCACCTGAGCTCTGCTGGCATGATTTCTGCCGCCAGGCTGCCGACGGCTCCTGAATCTGCAAACACACAGGGAGAGAGCTGATTGGACGGCAGTGTGAGAGAGGGCGGGGCTTATGTTTCTGTCTGTATATGCAGTGTGTGTGACCTGTTAAGCACTGCTGCTGGACCTGAACACATCTCAGCTCTTCAGTCGTCTCTCAGTGTTTCGCGCTCACATATCAGCTTCTGCAGCACACACACACACACACACACACACACAGTCATTCACTTTCACGATCACAGAGTTCATCTGCTCTGATGTGAGGGATCGGTGTCGCACCTCTCTCTCCTTCAGAAGCGTCTCATATTTGTCGTTGAGGTTCTTGTACTCAAACTGCCACTTCTCTGCTTTCATGGCCTCTGCCGAGTGTTTGGCGCTCATCTCATGAGCCTGAGGAGCACAGACATCCATCAGTCACTCATCTGAATGCACTGCTGCAGAGTCCATCTGGCTTCTCCGTGCAGCTGAAGCTGTTTTCTGAACTCTGGCAGACATCAGTAAGTCCTTGAATCAGGTTCATGTGGACTCAGAGTTGGTATGAAAACAATCTGGCCTAATTTGTGGAAGTGAAACGATACTGATGACAAATCATTTATGATTTATGCACATCTCTTCGCTGCATAAATTGTCTTTGGTGTTTGCATTTGTGGCATTTAATGCATTTGCAGCAGACAGATACAAGTGCTGTTGTAAATGCATGTTGGAGTGAATCTCACAGCCCACATTTCACTCCAAAATAAAAAGAAGAAATTATAATCAATTAAAAAAAAAATCTAAATGATTTAATTTTTTTCAAAACATACTAAAATACTAAAAAACTGCATAACCATACTAAAATTGTTTATTTCCCCCAAATATGAGGATTATGTATTCCCTTTTGTCACTACCGAAACAATGATGACATTTTTCGGTCGTGACAATTTTATGGGATAACACCCAAAAAAAACAAAGATGTCACCGAAACTCCACCAAATGTTTCGGTCGTGACAATTTTAAGATACTTTTAATCTCAAATATGCTAATCAGCACATGGTTAGCTAGCACAGTTCTGAACAGCTGTACACAGATGAAAATTAAATATGAAATAACTCCCAAAAAGGTGTGCTTAATTGCAGAAAAAAGGTGTTCGGTAGTGACGTTCCTTAGAGTTACACATGAGCGGCAACCTCCCGCTCTCTCTCGTGAAGCCAACAAGGAAGTGACTTAAACTGTAATTCATCGACTGGCCGCTAGAGGCTGGCTGCAAAAGGGAGTCAATCCCATAGACTCCCCATGTTAAAATGCCCAACTTTACAGCAGAATAAAACATGTTTACAGCCTGGTTCAAAAAATGATTTTGGTCTATATAGCTAATTTTGCCCTTCATGACAACTGTGAGGGGGGTGAATTTTTTTATAACTCATCCGTTTCATCACGGACACTACGTCCATGTTTTTATACAGTCTATGGTTACACAGATTTTTCAGACTTTTGAACACATTTACCTCAAAATGATGGGGCCTATCTACTCACCCTATAGCTGTGAGAGAGAGGGACACATAAATATTTCCTGAATATGTATATGGATATATATCCTGAATATATCCATAAATGTAGGGGTGTAGTTCATTTCAGTCTCAGCCAATGGACTAAAGCATGCACTGTTTCGGTAGTGACATGGAAAATGCGGGACACATTTTTTTTTTTTACATAAAGTTTCATAATTTACAAAGAAAATTAAAAAAAAAATTTTTTTTGAACTTAACTTTTTTTAAAGAATCAGAAAGATATTTTTAAAAACAACATTTCAATATTTTCATAAGTTGAAATTTAGGGGTTAGGGTTCGGGACAGCCACCTCCCAATCGAACGTACCCAATAAATGATGATTTTATTTACATTAAGCTTACTAATATTTTAAATATTATTGTGGGTTTCAATAGAGAATAGAAGGATCTTAGTAAACGTGTTTTTTGGTTGTGGGACTGCAGTTTGGGCCAATATTGGCCATTCCACAGAATTGGTCCAAACTGCTGTCCCACAACCAAAAACACATTTAAAAAGCATTTAAATACATATATTCAGGGTTGCTCAGCTGGAGTGAGACTTCAATGGCTGAATCAATCAAATACCCATAGCTGGATCCAACAGTTTATTTTTAATTTCATCTTAATACTATAAATCACCATACAATTAATGTTGTATTAGAAGCACTTTTTAGAAATTCTCCTTCCATCTATGCTGATTAGATGTTCATGCTACTGTAAATGAAAAGACATGAAATAGTTCTCATCAATAAACGCTTATTAATTCATAGCCTAATGCAACCATTACATATGTAAATTGTCAAAACTTTATAATTATTATAACTATAAACATTACATATTTAAATTTTCATGTATCAGCCAGTATTTGTATCTGTAACAATCACAAAATTATTCGTATCTGCATTCGGATAAAACCAGGTGGAACGTCGTACAGTTACTTGATAAGACCGTTATGACTATCTTCTTTTTTTTTTTCATAATTATCACTGAACAAGTATGCCGTGTTAAACTAAAATAATTATTAATTTCTGAAAATATATTTATCATGCAAGCAGAGAGATGTCATGACAAACGTTTAGTGATCATTTGAACACGACTGAATTAATTCAATGCGCACATTTTCATTACGCAGAACTCTTTAAGCGAGTCTTTTTTTGAACTTCACTAAACAAATGTGCGTGTGCACTCTTGAGAGAGAGCTGGTTTGGTTTTTGAGAGACTGAGACGCGCAACGCGGCTGTTTGATTGGTGAGCGCGCTGTGCTTATTCCATTAATTTGTAGCCTAAGGTTTAAAGGAACACTCCACTAATTTGAAAATAGGGAAAATAGGCAACTCTAGAGTTAAACAGTTGAGTTTTACCGTTTTTGAATCCATTCAGCCGATCTCCGGGATCTCCGGGTGCACTTTTAGCTGTAGCTTAGCATAGATCATTGAATCTCATTAGACCGTTAGCAACTCGCTCAAAAATGACCAAAGAGTTTCTATATTTTTCCTATTTAAAACTTGACTCTTCTGTAGTTACACTGTGTACTAAGACCGAAGGAAAATGCAAAGTTGCGATTTTCTAGGCCGATATGGCTAGGAACTATACTATAATCAAGGAACTTTGCTGCCGTACCATGGGT